ACTGCGCCACCCAGGCGCCCCATCCTAAATTCTTATCTTGAATTTCAATGTCCTCTGGAACTCATGGACTCTCCTTAGCAAAATCTTCTAGGTATTTTCTTCTCTTAATGTTTCCTTCACCTTCTCACCTAAATGACATCTGGCTCTGGCTTGATAACACTGCAGCCTTCTCAAGTGATAGTTCTCAGGGCATCTGGATGGCTCAGTTGGTTAAGCATCTGACTCTCGATTTTGGCTCAGTCATGATCTCACAGTTTGCTGTACGGAGACCCTGCATCAGGCTCTGCACTGAAAGCACAGAAGCCTGCCTGGGATTCTCTCTCCCCCTTCTCTGCCCCTCCCCCATTCACATGCATTCTCTGTTTCTCTCTCAAAATAAATAAATTTAAAAGTGGCAGTTCTTCTCTCTCATACTTCTTTACCAGTAAGCCTGAAGGTGGAGCAAATATCTGTTTGCTCCTTGTCATTCTCTCTCCCACTCCTCCCTAAAACTTCTCAATTTTAAAACTCATGTCATCAAATACTACCCATCATCCATCCACTGGTTGCAGTCCTCTACCAACTTCAGATTAATCCCTCTCATTCCTAGCTCATTATCTCTCTCCAACACAAATCCTGCCATAATTTTTGGTAATTTCAATATTCATAGAGCTGATCCATCCAATAACTTAGCCTTTCTGTTCCTTGACCTCTTCTTCAACAAAAATCTTATATTCTACCTTACCTCAGAAACTCATTCCCCATGGTCATACAGCTTTGTCATTATCAGGTTCCAAAAATTCTCAGGCTCCATCAGGACCTAAAATCCACTAATTCCACAACTTTTGCCTTCAACATATTTATATCTTTATTTCCTCTTTATGCAACTTCAATTCTATGGTCCATCATTATACTCTCTCTCTATACACATCTTCAATTCCCTAGACTCTTTCTTCAACAAATTCACTTGGCAAAACTCCAGCTCTGGTTAAATCCTGCTCCCACACTATGTAAGTCTATAGTAATGCAGCTAAATGTGACTGGAGAAATCATACCACCATGTGGTCTGGTTTCACTAACTTCAGGAATCATACCACATCTCCCGTTCACTCTGCTACTCTTCTACAGACAACTATTTTATACCTTCCCTCTCATCTTTAACAACTCCTTCTTCATCCTCACTCACAGCTCATGACCTGGTTCCCTATTTCACTGAGAAAATAAAAGCACTCAAGAGACCTTCTAAAAGCTACCACAACCACATCTACCCACCTACCTGCACCTATTTTTAATACATTCTGTCTCACCTCTTATTGCTACAGATGAACTATCTGTACTATCTAAGTCTAATTCTTCTATTTGTCAAAAGTACTCTTGGGGCACCTGGGTGGCTCAGTCAGTTAAGTGTCTGACTTCGGTTCGAGTCATGATCTCACGGTTTGTGGGTTCAAGCCCTGTGATGGACTTTGTGCTGACAGCTCAGAGCTTGGAGCCTGTTTTCAGATTCTGTGTCTCCCTCTCTCTCTGTCCCTCCTCCATGAGTGCTCTGTATCTCTGTCTCTAAAAAATGAATAAAAACATTAAAAAAACTTTTTTTAAGTTCTTTTCCTTTTCTCCAGTTGTTTTTTTAAATAGCTTTGAGATATAATTTACAGACCATACAATAAACCCATTTAAAGTATACAACTCAATAGGTTGCAAGTATGTTAAAGGAAATCATCATGATCTAATTTTAGACCGTTTTTGTACCCACCTAAAGAAATTCTGTACCCATTAACAGTCAATCCCTATATGCCCTTTTACTCCTCCACCAATCCCAAGCAACCACTAATCTACTGTCTCTATAAATTTGTTTATCGTGGACATTTCATATAAGTAGAATCATGTATGTGGTCTTTCATGACTTGGCTTCTTTGACTTTAGCATAATGTCTTTAAGTTTTGTGTTTTATTTGTTTTTTTTTTACAAGAGAGAGCATGAACAGGGCAGAGGGAAAGAGATTTTTTTTAATGTTTATTTATTTATTTTTGAGAGAGACAGAGGGAGAGAGTGCATGTGCATGCAGGAGAGGGAGAACACCAAGCAGGCTCCAAACTCAGCATGGAGCCTGACACAGGGCTCCATCCCGTGATGCTAGGATCACGACCTCAGCTGAAGTCAAAAGTCAGATGCTCAACCAACTGAGCCTCCCAGGCGCCCCCTACGTTTTGTTTATCTACTCATCAGCTGATGGACATTTGAGTTGTATCCATTTTTTTGGTTATTTGAAAAATGCTGTTATGAACATTTTTGTACAGGTTTTTGTATGGGCATATGTTTTTACTTCTTCTGGGTGAAATTATAGGGTCATGTGGTAATTCCATGTTTAACTTTTTAAGGAAGTGACAAATGTATTTATACCTTCATTTCCTCTTTAAGCAACTTAGATTCTATGACCTGTCATTATAATCTCTCTCTACACACATCTGACAAACTGTTTTTCAAAGTAGCTATGTTATGTTACATTGCTATTGGCTATGTATCAAGGTTTCCAATTTTCTCTTATACCCACCCTGTCTGGTTTCCTCCAATGCACGTGTCAAGGTTACCAATGACCTCTATGGCTCAATCAATAGTCAAATTTTAGTCTTCATCCAGCTTGACCTATTAGCAGCATTTGGTTCAGCTAATCTTACTCTTCACTGAAACTTCATTTGGATTCTAGGAAATCAGTCTTCTGTTTTTCTTCTACCTGGCTTGAACATGCCTGTTACTCCTTATTCCACAACCTCTCATCACTGGCATGTTCCACACTCAGTCCATTAACCTTTCCCCTTCTCTTTCTACATTCATTCTTGTGATTTCATGCAGCCTACCATTTATGTATGTTGTCTGTTGCCAAATGTACATTTACAGGCTAGATCTGTACTGCCTAATACATTAGCCAGTAGCAACATATGGCTACATAATTTTAATTAAAATTAAATTTAATACTTAGGTCCTCAGGCACATATGCTGCAGTTAAGAGCTCAAGAGCCACATGTGGCTAGTAGCTACCAAAACTAGACAGCAGAGATACGGAACATTTCTATCATCACAGAAATTTCTATTGTATAGCACAGATCTAGACCTTTTCTCTGAACTCTAGATTTATGTATGCAACTGCCTTACTGAAATCTCCACTTGGATGTCAATAAACACCCTAAAACCAAAATCCTGTTATTCCTCCCTAAACATGTTCCTTCCATATTTTACCTGTTTCAGCTGATGTTAACTCAATCCTTCCAGTTTTTCAAGCCAAAAACTATGGGGTGAACCACTCTCACTCTACATTCAACTGACCACAGAATCTGACAACATTTTACAAATTTCCACTTCTACTACCTTGTTTAAAGCCACCACCATCTTTTGCCAGTTCTAATAGCATCTTTCGTTATAATAGCTTCCTGATATCCCTCCTTCTGTCCTTTCCCTCTTAAATTCTATTTTCACATAACAGCCGGAGAATTCTTGTTGAACTCAAAGTCAGATCACATCAGTCCTCTGCTGAAAATCCTCTAATGGTTTCCAAGCTCACTCACAGCAAACATCAAAAGTTGCTGTATTAGCCTATAGAGCCGTATATGACCTGACCCCAATTACTTTTGGAATGTCATCCCCTTTCCACACTCCTTGGAAGTCATACTGGCTATTCATCAAAGCACCAAGCATATTTCAGCCTTCTCCATGAAATATAATTTAGAAATTACAAAGTTTAGGGGTGCCTGGGTGCCTCAGTCAGTTAAGCATCCAACTCATGAGTCATGATCTCATGGTTTGTGAGTTCGAGCCTCGCGTCAGGCTCTGCACAGACAGTGCAGAACCTGCTTGGGATTCTCTCTCTCTCAAAATAAATAAAATAAAAACTTAAAAGAAATCACAAAGTTTAAGAATCACTAAGCTACACTAAAAGAGGTATAAATAGAAATTCTATTTCCAGATATCTGGGTATTCAAAAGTAATCTAACCTTAACTATAAGGTTTCCCTAACCAGTGAGAAGGATTAAATTATATTAATTACATAAAGAAAAGGGTCTTCCAAAAGCTGCAATCTCCATTACTTCACTAAGCCTGTATTTCACAAAAAACCAGTTAGCTAGTTGTCAAAATAATCAGCTGACAAATTTTTTTACAAAATTTTCCTTACACATTTAATTACTAAAAGAACTAAGAATATGGATTAAGATTTCATATTTAACAGTATAAACATATAAATTCTTATTCATTAAATTGTAAAAGACTTCAGTGTGATATACAGCTACCCGCTCTGTAAACAAGTTCTACTGAAAGCAGCTGGTCTGCAAACTGTGTATCACCAGTCTGTTTTGAAATAAGAAACTTGCCTAAGTATGCAACTTAATACACTGCTTCCTTCATCAAGAAAATTTGCTCAGAAACATTTCAGATCAACTAAACAGTGTATTTATGTACATGTTTTACATTTTGGCACAAGCCCCTATCTCACTGTGGCTTGGTAACTAATATTTCATAGACTGGCAAAGGTCCATGAATCACACTTTGGATAGCACTGCTCTAAATTATCTCCTGGATCTTTAAGTCTACTCAATATATTTTTTAACACTTTCTACATGCAATGTCAGAATTTCTGTACCATTTCCCATTCTAAAATTTATTAGGAATTATTATGTATCTTGTTCTTTTCTGGAAGTTACTCAGTCTCATTTATATTACAGAATTTTAATGCTGGTTAGAAAAGCCTTCAGAAAGGTTTAACATCCAAAAACAATAACATACGGGTAGAAATTTTTAATTAAGAGCTTCAAAATTATAATTTTAAAGTAGATTATATAACAGCACTTCAGAAAGATGTAATTTGGTAATATATTAGTTTTAGAAACGTTTATTTTGAAAGAGATATAAAATCATCCACTTTTCAACACTAACCTAAATATTCCATCAGCTGTTCAGCAGTTATGATTTCCATCATCGGTGGAAGTTTCACCTGAAAAACAAAGTATTTTTTCTATAAAATCAAGTGTTTTAGGTGATTAAAGTGTTTCTTCAGTAGGAAACATATGCATGTATGTGTACATATGTTTCTACTATATGTATACATTAATAACTCATGTTACCAAAATCTTTATAACTAATCTTTATAAAATATAATGCAGTCAATCCTATCACCATAAAATTTCCAGGGTGATATAAGATCTCATAGAGCCATTGAGAAATCTGTTTTCAAAGCCAAGTGCTATGCCTTTCACCACCCACTATGATTGTCACTAGGTTACTACAAAATGCAGTTAAAGGGCAGGAAGAGGCACCAAACATGTGACAGGTCACTCATGGAGCAGTTTTACTGAAGACAGGCTTGAACACAGCTCAATATGCCATTACTTCAGTTTACCTTGGCCATTTTTATTGCTGAATTACTATAATAAATACAGTATTAAGATATTAGTCACATACTGAATAATTTGTACTGTACGATTCCACTTACAAAGTTTAAAAGCAGGCAAAATTAAACTATATTGTTTACAACTGCATACTTGGTGATAAAATTATAAAGAAAAGTAAGGAAATGGATACTATAAAAATCAGAATTATGGTTAGCCCTAAGGTAAGGGAAGGAGTTATAGTTGGAGATGACATATAAGAGCCTTCTGGGATGCTGGCAATGCTGTATTTCTTGACTTGCATGGTAGTTCCAGTGACATTTGCTTTATAATAACTTGTTAAACTGTACATCTCTGTTTTATGTATTCTACATGAGTTATAGTTCACAACAAAAAGGTTAAAAGTAGATATATACATTACAATTATATTTACGTTTCTAAATTCAGCTGCAACACATTTGTGTCAAGGTTTTAACAGAATTGTCAGATGGGTTACAGAGATATTACAACCAATGGATTTACAACCATAAATATTTTAACGGACTTATTCAAAAGCATACTCTTGTGGTACATTCATGGAATAGGAGAAAAATAAATACAGTAGGATGGAAACTCAAAGCAAGTATCAATGATAGGAGAACAGTAATGTAATTAAACATTCTTCAGGGATTATTTTTTGGGAATTATCTTCTGTTGAACCAAGGAAATCATTTAAATCATCAATTTCTTCAACAATTCCCCCAAGTATTAAAGAAGGTGCTCTTGGTATTTATGTTAGCAAATGTGGTAATAGCATGTCACAATTTTTTGTTTGTTTTAATCAATGAGTAAGTTTTAAAACAAATCCCTGTAAAATAGAACAGTTTGATACCCTATGAGAGCATACATGACAATTGACGCTTATGATTTTTTTCATCCAGGGGATTTATCAGTGATTGAAAACCAAGAGATGCCATGCAGGTTTTAATCATTACTTGATTCTAAATCATTTTTATTTTCTATGACATGTTTTTCAAAAAACTATAATGACTTTTTTTTTTTTAAGCAGTTTTAGTCTTACAGGATATTGACCAGAAAGTGCAGAGTTCCCAAATACGGTATATTTTTAAACTGAAATTCATTGACAAATTATGGTCCCCTGCCTGTTTGTCTAAATAAAGTTTTATTGGAACAGTCACTCTCATTGTTTATGGATAGTCTTTGGCTGTTTCTGCACAACAATAACAGAGTTGAAACTTTACAAGAGGGATTATAGAACCCACAAAGCCTCAAATATTTACGTACTATCTAGTCCTTTATAGGAAAAGTTTGCTGATCCCTGCTTTAGATGATTTTAACTGTTACTAGAATATTTTATCAGGCTATTTTGGTACCACTATTGAAGGTCTGATATTTAAACCAGTAGTTTACATTCACTGTGAATGCTTACATTCTGACCAAATGTCAGAACTTGAAAGTCTCATTTACACCTAACAATGTTTCTTACATAAAATAAGACCTATACATTCTTTTACTCCAGATAGGTTCAGTCAGAATATATTCACCAGGAAATTCCACAGACAGAGCTTATTCTCTGCTTTGGTTGATGTAGTAATCCTACTATAAAATTGTCAAAATAAGAATTAACAGAAGTCTTAATTGTGGCATTTCTGTCAAAATATGAAACCAAGGCACTAACAAGTGTATTTATTTGGGAAATACATACTATAATCCTAGATTTCTACAAATATGATTTCAGGGTTTAGCCTTGAAATTTCCAAATAATAACAACTGCCTACCATAACAACTGCCTACCATGTGTTTGCCGCAAACAAGAAAATGACAACCTCTATACTGATTTTAGAAGTGGGACAACAAACATGCAAATATTTTAACTGACTTATTCACAAACATACTCAGTGAAATATTCATTTCCTGAATCTTAGCCAACAAAATATTCGTGATATTCATTAAAACTAAGGACAAATAAACATAATTGTGAAGGAACACCTGCCTCTCACTAACACTGTTGAGCCATCAACAGATTTTTTTTCTTTAAACCGCAAAATGATCTTCCTGAAACCTTGCTTCTCTTTTTGCTTTCCTCCACCACCATCACCTCAAAAACAAGTGGCAGGGGCAGCACCTTGGTGGTTCAGTTGGTTAAGCATCCGATTCTTGATTTCAGATCAGGTCATGATCTCACAGTTTGTGGGATCAGGCCCAGCTTCAGGGTCTGTGCTGATGGCGCAGAGCCTGTTTGAGATTCGCTCTCTGAAAATAAAAAAATACTTAAGGGGTGCCTGGGTGGCTCAGTCAGTTAAGCGTCTGACTTCGGCTCAGGTCATGATCTCACAGTTCATGTGTTAGAGCCCCGGATTGGGCTCTGCGTGGACAGCATGGAGCCTGGTACCTTCTTAGGATTCTGTGTCTCCCTATCTCTCTGCTCCTCCTCCTTCACGCTCTGTCTCTCTCTCTGTCTGTCTCTCTCTCTCACTCAAAACTAAACATAAAAAAATTTAAAAAGAAAAAGAAAAAAAATACTTTAAAAAATGCTAAAGGTTTTGTTAATGATCCTAAGACTTTCACTCCTTTGTCTCTTTAGATTTTACTGAAGAAGAAACAGGTTGGGGAACAGCTAGCTAAGAATACAGAATATAATAACTGTGGTGTTTTGTCCAAATCTCTAAATTTTAAATTTTACAATGAAAAAACGAATTCAAACAAAGTAAGACCTAGATTCTCAGGTGGTCTTTTAGTAATAATCTATAACATATTTTTTTAAAGATTTTATTTTGAAGTAATCTCTACGCCCAACATGGGGCTCAAACTCATAACCCTGCGATCAAGGGTCAGTCACACGCTCTACTGACTGAGCCAGCCAGGCACCCCATAACATATTATTTTTAAGTAAATGAATACTTTCATGTATATAAGGGTAGTTGGAAGGTACTCTCAAATAGTTTAGTCTTCCTAAAATATGAGCAAAGCTTCTCAGCATATAGTAACATATAGCTCCAAATTAAGAGTTCAAACAGTCTAGGAAAATAAATGATGTCCTACCCTATAAGTAAGATTTTATTGGATTAAATGGATTTCCTGAGCAAATTAATAACATAAGCAGAGAAAGAATACTGAACAAAAGGAAATAGCTACTCCCACTCCAATTATTCAACTATACAGTAAAACCTCATTAATTCAGCCCAATTATTGCCTGAGTGGCTTAGTCGGTTAAGTGTCCAACTTTGGCTCAGGTCATGATCTTGAGGTTCGTGAGTTCGAGCTCCACTTTGGGGTCTATGTTAACAGCTCAGAACTTGGAGCCTGCTTCAGATTCTGTGTCTCCCCTCTGCCCCTCCCCTTCTTGGGCTCTGTCTCTCGTCTCTCAAAAGTATATAAACATTAAAAAATTTTTTTTTCATTTTTTAAATGTTTATTTTTGGAGAGAGAGACAGACAGACAGACAGAGTGTGATCAGGGGAAGGGGCAGAGAGACAGGGAGACACAGAATCTGAAGCAGGTTCCAGGCTCTGAGCTGTCAGCACAGAGCCCGACGTGGGGCTCAAAACCACGAACCATGAGATCATGACCTGAACCGAAGTCAGACACTCAACCAACTGAGCCACCCAAGCGCTGCAACATTAAATTTTTTTTTTTAAATAAGCATTAAAAATTTAATTCAGCCCAATTATTCTGTAATTCTTAGTTATTTAAAGAGTGAAGTATATTTGACCAACTAATCTTTGACAAAGCAGGAAAGAATATCCAATGGAATAAAGACAGTCTTTTGAGCAAGTGATGCTGGGAAAACTGGACAGCGACATGCAGAAGAATAAACCTGGACCATTTTCTTACACCATACACAAAAATAAACTCAAAATGGATGAAAGACCTCAATGTAAGACAGGAAGCCACCAAAATCCTCGAGGAGAAAGCAGCCAAAAACCTCTTTGATCTTACCCACAGCAGCTTCTTACTTAACACGTCTCCAAAGGCAAGGGAAACAAAAGGAAAAATGAACTACTGGGACCTCATCAAAACAAAAACCTTCTGCACAGCGAAGGAAACAATCAGCAAAACTAAAAGGCAACTTACGGAATGGGAGAAGATATCTGCAAATGATATTATCAGATAAAGGGTTAGTGTCCAAAATCTATAAAGAACTTATCAAACTCAACACCCAAAAAACAAATAATCCAGTGAAGAAATGGGCAAAAGACATGAATAGACACTTCTCCAAGGAAGACACCAGATGGCCAACTGACACATGAAAAAATGTTCAACATCACTCATCATCGGGAAAATACAAATCAAAACCACAAAAGATACCACCTCATACCTGTCAGAATGGCTAACATTAACAACTCAGGCAACAACAGATGTTGGTGAGGATGCGGAGAAAGAGGATCTCTTTCTCATTGTTGGTGGCAATGCAAGCTGGTGCAGCCACTCTGGAAAACAGTATGGAGGTTCCTCAAAAAACTAAAAATATAACTACCCTACGACCCAGCAATTGCACTACTAGGTATTTATCCACAGGAAACAG